ACTAATGGTTTCTCTACCCATTAAGATGCTTTGCCAGCCCCACGACGGTCTACTCCCTTTGCTTGCATGCCAAAAGTCTCCTTCAGGAAAATATAATCCTTTAAGAACCTTGCTCCAAAGAGAGGAAGGATTTTGAAATATCCTCCATGCCTATTTTCCCAACATAGCCTTGTTAAAAGAAATCAAATCCCGAAAACCAAGGCCTCCATTATCTTTTCTGAATTTCAGAATTTCCCATCTCTTCCAATGCATACCAGCCTGGTCGCTGCCATTTTTCCACCAAAAGGCTGCCACTTTCTTCTCAATCGCTTTACAAATGGATACTGGTATCTTGAAGATCGACATAGCATATTGAGGAATGGCTTGCACCACTGCTTTAATTAAAATCTCCTTTTCCGCTTTGGAAATCAACTTTTCCTTCCATCCTTCAAGCTTCCTAATAACCCTTGCAGTGATCCAAGCAAACATTTGCTTTTTCTTTTCTCCCCAATCAGATGGGATGCCCAAATATTTGCCGATTTTCTCAATTTCTGGAACTCGCAATTCGTATGACATATTCCTTTTTAAACTCCATGGACACTCCCTACTGAAAAAAACCCCTGATTTGTTTCTATTAATTGCTTGGCCTGAAGCATAGCAATATTGATTCAAGATAGCTGAAATGTTTTGGCATTCTCTAATGCTTCCTTCTAAGAAGAAAATCGAATCATCCGCAAAGAAAAGGTGGGATAAAGTGGGGCAGGATCTATTCATCTGGATCCCTTGAATACTCCCATTCTCCAAAGCACGTTTTAGCATGAAGGATAGACCATTCGCTACTAGAATAAACAAGTACGGGGATAGTCGATCGCCTTGGCGAATGCCTCGCAAAGGTTGGAAATAAGGCTGGGGCTCTCCATTGATTTTGACATTAAAAGTAACTGACGAAACACATTGCATAATCCAATTCACCCATTTTGAGCAGAATCCCATTTTCAACATACTGGCCTCCAAAAAATCCCATTCCACTATCGTAAGCCTTTTGCATATTCAGTTTTAGAATCGCCTGAAATTTCTTCTTTCTTTTTCGTACTCTCAACTGGTGGAGCACCTCTTGGACGATTAAGATATTGTCTTGAACCTGTCGTCCACATACGAAGGCACTCTGTTCTTCTGAAATCAACTACGGTAGCCACAGCTTGAGTCTATTTGCCATGACTTTAGAAATGATTTTATAGGCAAAGTTACATAAACTGATAGGTCGAAACTGCTCCAGTTTTTCGGGGTTTGAGACTTTTGGGATCAGGGTAATATGTGTTCTATTAAGCTCAGGGTCGAGGTACCCATATGTAAAGAAATTCTGTATCTTCTTAAACATATCGAGCTGGACATTTTCCCAATGATGTTGAAAGAATTGTCCATTCAAACCATCTGGCCCCAGTGCTTTGGTGGAACCTAGCTGGTGAATCGCCATCTTCACTTCCTCCAAGGATAAGTCTGCTATTAAACTGTGGTTTATTTCCTCCCCGACTAAACATGGATAGTTTTCCAAGACTGGTTCAAAGTTTAGAGAGCCGCAAGAACTATAAAGGTTTTGGAAAAAACTCACTGTCATTTGCTTCAACTGGTTGCTGTCCCGCACCCATTCATTGCTGGAGTTTTTTAACATCGTTATCCTGTTTCTTTGTCTCCTTTGAATCGTTGTTGCATGGAAGTATTTTGTATTTTTATCCCCCCACTTTAACCAGTTTATTCTCCATCTCATTCCCCAGTACATCTCCTCTTGTCGCCAAAGTTTTTCAATCTCCCCATTTAGAGAAGCAATTCGCTCTCTTTCACCACCCAAACCCGGGTTACTATTAATGGACATGAGTTCATTTTTCAAGGAGTTTATCTTCCAACAAGCATTGGTGAACTTTTTCCTACTCCATTTTTCCAGCAAATCAGCCTTAGAAGAATGCCAAACATCTCTAATAAGATGCCCACATTCAGCATCTTCTAGCCAAAAGGCTTCAAATCTGAATTCTTTTTTCCTCTTGACTAAATCCGGGAATAAAGAAATCATAATGGGGCTATGATCCGAACCTAAGGCCGGTAATGCTATAACTTCAGCCCTTGGGAAAGTAATCCTCCACTCTATAGTACAAACTGCTCGATCTAGTTTTTCCTTAATATATGCACTCCTCTCTCTATTGTTGGTCCATGTGAACGCTCACCGTTTACTCTCCAAATCCATCAAGTAACAAGCATCAAGACAATCCCTGAACGCTTGAATTTTGTAGTTTTCAGCCATACGCAAGCCAACCTTTTCCCAGTGATAAAGTACTTCATTAGAGTCTCCAACACAAACCCAAGGGAGTCGATTCGCTATGCTGATTTGATACAGTTCAGCCCATAGTTGTAGCCTAGAGTGGAAGTCATTTGGAGCATGGACAAAAGTGATTCGCATTCTCTGTTTGCTTTCTACAATCTCACATACAAGATTCACTAGATGCCCGGAGTATGAATCTATTGTGATCGACATAGTTTCATTCCAAAACAAAGCCATTCCCCCCGCTATGCCAACATGATTCACTATAAAGCACTTTTGGAACTGCAGCCTTCACTTCAAACGATGTACAACTTCTTCTTGATTTTTAGTTTCCATTAAAACCATTAAAGAGGGCCTCTCCTGAGTCACAAGAACTCTTAAAGCTTGATTTGTCAGGGGTGTGCCCAACCCCTAACAATTCCAGCATACGAGCTTCATTTGTAACCTAGTGGCTTATTGGCAGTGGCCACCAAAGCCCATATTTTCTCCTCTGAAAGCAACTGAATGGGAGTCTCAAGTAGCTAAGTTTCATCCAAAACGGGCATAATAGAACAGTTCTTCTCATAAGGACTGAAGCGTTTCGCTTTTTTACCTGCTGGAATCTTCTATCCTCAGCTTTTTCTTGTGCATTTCCGCAGGTTTTAAAGCTTTAGCAGACCAAGCGACCTTCTGTCACCAAGGCCAGTGCATCAACAGCCATTTGTTGACTGGCAAAATTGTCAAGACCAAGGACACAGAGAGAAGAAGAAAGAGCTGGTAGGGTTTGTGGGTAATGGGGGAAGGGGTTTAGGGTTTAACAGGGTTTTGGGTTTCTGATGTAAAGGGGTAATGATTTTTCCACGAAGAAGTGGAAAGATTGAAAAGAAAAAAAGGAAAGCGGATTGACATAGGAAAGGGATTAGAGTTAGAAATTTGGATTGAGATTGAAGAGAGCTACCACAAAATAGGGTAGAGAGAAGCTCTCATGATGAGAGAGAGAGAGAACTGGAATCGATTCCAGAGCCTGAAATTTTTACGGCAATTTCAATTGACTGGTTTTTAGAATTTTAGGGTACTTTAGGGCCTATTTAGTAACGTTTCTGTTTTTCTGTTCTTTTGTTCTCTGAAACAGAAAAAGAAGAAATTCGTTTAGTAACGTCAGTTAGTTTTTTTGTTCCCCGGAACAAAAAAGCGGTTAAAGAATAGATTTAGAACAGAAATAAGAAGTAAAAAAAATTTACTTTTCTGTTTTTAGAACAAAAGAGAAACAAGATCAGTTATTTCTTTCACAAGATATTATTATACTAAACCTTAAACTCTAAATCCTAAATCCCCAAAATCTTAAACCTCAATACCAAAACACTAAAACCCATAACACTAAAATAAAAAATCCTAAAACCCTAAACCTTCTAAACCCAAAAATCCAAACCCTAAATTCCAAACCAAAAACCTGAAACTCTAAACCCCAAAACTCTAAACTCGAAACCCTAAAACCTAAAATCGTAATTCCAAACCCTAAATCCTAAAACGCTCAACCGTAAAACCCCGAATCCTAAATCATAAACCCCAAACCCTAAACTGTAAACCCTAAACCACTAAACCACAAACCCTAAACCCAAACCCTTAAACCCTAAACTCGAAACACTAAATCTCAAACCCTAAATCCTAAAATCCAAAACTTAAAACCCAAAATCCCAAACCCTAAACCTCAAAATCGAAATCCTTAAACCCTAACCCCTAACCCAAAATCCTAAAATCCTACCCCCTGAACTGTAATTTCTTCAATCACCACTCGGTATTTGCTTTGTCTATAATGAGTAATTTTTTTTATGATTGTATTAAGGTCATCAAATTCTATATCATAATATATTATTATTCTATTTCTAGTCCAATTTTATTCAAACATGAATTATTAAGTCTCATCAACTGTAATTTCCTTGACCAACATCCGGTGTTTGCTTTGTCTATAAGGAGTAATTTTCTTTATGATTGTATTAAGGTCATCCAATTCTATATTATAATATATTATTATTTTATTTCTAGTCCAATTTTATCCGAATATGAATTGTTAAGTCTTCACTGACAATTTTATAATTAGATGAAAAAATTGGGAATAGAAATTTTTAGTGTCCTGCCAAATGCATTTCTATTCTTTTTCTACTCAAGGAATATAAATTTTGTGCAATTACTAAAGCATTTTTTTCTCAGAAACTCGTCTAGGGAATATAAATAGAAAAAATAATTTCTGAACAGAAATTGTCTCTAGAAACAGAAACGTTACTAAAAATACCCTCAATGAAACTTCATCAATCTGGTTATGTACCCGACATTGGCCATGGAGGGAAGGGAGAGAAGGGGAGGCGACCCCTTACCCGCAAAAAAAAAAAGTTACAAATATATGCTATAGAGAATTTAATCTCATATTTAGTTTCATGCTCAAAAATTTTATTTTTCAAAAAATTATATCAAAATCCATGTCAGTTTGCTTAAAATGAATTCCAGAATTTGACGGTTTCTTAGTTTTCTCAAATGGATCACCTCATAATATCGAGAACTCACTTCTTCCTCCCAGCTGTTCAGAATCACGGTCCCGCGCAGCTCTGGTGGTGGCGAGCATGTGCCGGTTCTCTTCCCCACCTCTCTATTCCTCTCAGTTCTTCCCTCTCGGGAAACTGAGGCTCACAATGATGGGTTTCAACAAGAGAGCAATCGAATGCGTTACATTGCAGACATGCGAATCATGCCCACCGGCACCCTTGAAGAAGAGAAATGGTGCAAAAAGTCAGACATGGGAAATCAAGTGGAACCTGGGTCACGTGAAGCAATGCCGGTCGGAATTCCCAGGTGAGAGGGGGGGTCGTTAGATTGAAATTCGAGTTTTCGTGGCAGATACTTCCTAATGGCCAATTGTGCGAACCGATGAATTTCGATGAAAAATATTTGCTAAGATTTTGTTGCAATAGAGCTTTATTCAAAGTGTGGGATGCAGGAGGCGACAGAGGAACCGAAAGGGTAAATAGGAATTTAAGGAGATTGAGTTCGGTTCCACTCTTCCATGAGTGAATCAGCTAACTGTTTCATTCTGTAGGAAAGATCCTTCGAGACCGGTGAAAATTTTTTACAGCCTCGATGAAGCCAGTTGAAATCATGCTTTCTTCCTTTGTTTTCTGCATTTTCTCTACTTAGTGAGTTTCGCTGTAATTAGAGAACAAAAAGATGAGCAACAAATACTTAGGAAAAAGTTGCTTAGGAAGATATTGTTGTGGTTGGGCGATTGCAATAAGCTTGTCATGCTAGCTTCAAACATGTTGAGGTTCGAGCTAAATCTTGGCATCTTGCTGGCACTTTTTTTCTTGGCCCTCCTCTGAAATATGATCTCATAGTTAAATATAGATGCCATTGGGGGATTCTTAATTCCCCATGCAATAACTTCTCTCTCCAAAGGCATAAAATCATCTGGAGGAGCTTGAAACAAATTGAATGATCTTTATTTTCACTTGTTACTTCATACAAGAACTTAGCAGTTTAGCCATTGCCTTGGACCTCTCGGTAATAAAGGCGATCACTTACATTAGAAAGCACCAGAGTCACTGATTTCATCCCTTTCTAAAGAATGCTATTCTTAGACTTGATACAAAATTGAACGAAAGGATTCATATATTCGAACCTGCTTAGTGGGATGAGATTTAGTTTGTTGCTCTTATTGTTGTTGTTGCTCATTTCTAGACCACCTTTCCTATTTAATTGATGCACTGTACAATCTATTAATTTGACAGATAGCACTGTATTATAAGCTATAGTAATTTTATCAACTTCCTGAGCAGATCATATTCGGTCAGACAATTAGCTGCCACGGCATATGGGGCCCTCTGCGCTGTAGCTTTTTCTATTCCAATAACTTCTAATGGAAGACAACATTGTCATGCTTTTACTATGGTGGATAGGTTCATTAGCTGGTCACTACCATCGCTCCTAACATAATTGCTGGAGATGGTACAGCAGAACTGGTACTCGACAGCCTCCAGTTTCTTAACGTTGGGAATTTTAATGGAAATGAAAAATATGCATTACCAATTCTCAAAGCATGCTCACAGCTACTCCAAGATGAGTGAAGCTCCTTGAGTTTATTGCATAGCCTCTTGGCATTATAACTCTGATCTCACTAAACTTTTCTATATGCTTCCAAACCCACTTTTGTGGACATTGTGGATCTGCTTCTTGGTTGGGCATTGATACCGGACTTCGGAGAATCAGAGAGACATGTTATTGTGGATTTTTTCATGCAATTCCAAAAGCATTGGGTCCGTAATTTGCAGTTCTCGCTTGGATTGATGTCGAAGTTCCAGGGTGACATGGATGCGCTACCGCGTGATGGGGTCTGGGTACTCCACAACAATTTCGAAGACTGCTCTCCCTGCTCTTTTGTTTTTATACCATCCTGCAGTCCACTGCTTCTGGGTTGAAGCAAATCTTCTTGGACAAATAAGCGTCCACTTAACAAGATGCTACCGCAGCTGAAAAGTGCAATATTTGACGTTTAAGAATCCTCCAAAATCTGCCGATTCACTTGCAGATGTATGATGGCCATCTGATGGATGGCAATCCTGTGTATAGCCGGTAAGATGATAAGAACTTATGCGTGTGTACCTTTAAATTTGAAGGAAGAAATGGATTTTAGTTTTCGTGGACCATGAATTTTTGATTTTGCAAAGATCTCGCCTAATTCCAATGTAATGTCTTTAGGCGAACTATACATCATGACAGACGTAGATTTCCGATGGCCAGTCAACAAAAGTAAAAAGCTCTGGAAGAAATCACATAAGATTGATTTTGGTAAATCAGCTGAAAATTATCGCCTCCTTTTTGAATTTTTGAGCTATGTGACGGAGTTGCACAATCAAGAATGGGTTGGGCTGACATTTATGTCTGGATATGCCAAAACCCGGATCCGAAATACAGAAGACCACCGGGTTAAATCCACTGCTTTAATACTCGTCAATTTAGGCAGCATCAACACTAGACCTCACTCCACTCGTTCGCCATTCCCTCGCTTCATCAATCCCGCACTTCTCTCGCTCTCTCTGTGTGAACTGTCGCTGGAGTTGAAGTTGGCAGCTCTACGGCACTACTAAGAACTAAGAAGCTGTTAGAAATGTAATAGGCAATAATGTTTTTCTAATTGTGTCATGTTTAGGATGAAGGATAACGTGTCATGTTTATGATGAAGGATAATTTAGTGCTTTATTCCTTATAGCAGACACTAATGCAACAAGGGATGTTGTTTTCATTTGGTCATGGAATAACCTTAATTTATGACATTATTGCAAACTTTCTAGAAGTTGTAAGCATCACAAAATGTATGTAGCCTCCAATATCGACATATAGCAAAAACAGATGGAAGGAAAGTGAAGTCCTTTTTTGGTGTTTCTTGAAAATAAGTTACTGTTGTTTATTTTGTTATTTTTCTTTACGTGTAGATTCTTATTTGTAGATTGATTGATAGGCCTATACGTCCGACAATGCTGAAGGGCTTGTACCATGAAACTCAAGTTCTATCTTGAATTGCTCATTGCATGCTTAATTTTCTTGTGGCTGACGGATTCTTGGTTCGACACACTTAAGACCCACTGTTAAATTTTGATATTTGATGTTCTTCTCTCGATATATTTTTATTGTTGGAATTCACTTGCATACCTCATAAACCAACTTTTCTAGGCATGACCTAAATAAACTATATCCATTTTTTAAAACCTTTCTTTGCATAAGTTGTTAGATACGAGTGTATTAAGATTATTTGATCCTGAAAGTATGTTCCTGGTTTAATCTGAAGGGCTTCTCTGATCAAATCCTTTGCTGTCTGGACTTGATACAAGGAGGAAAGCGGAGTGATGGTTGAACGCCTGATCAAATAAGGCCAATTAACTCAAGGCGCGGATTGCTTCCTAGGGCACATGGAAGTGTCCTTTTTACACGCGGCAAAACACAGGTTTGCCATATGCATTCTTCTGTTATGAAAATGAACCAGTCGCTTCTCTTTTGCTGGTTGAATGGAAACGGTTTCCTCTAATTTTTGCTGGAACTTTCTTTTTCTCTTTTGAAGTGCTCTTCCATCTGCAACTTGCTAAAGTTAGATCTAGGTAGTGTATATCTTGGAGGCACTCATTCGTGTGCCAGTTCCCTGCAACCTTATTAGTATACTTTTGCATGCACTTTCATCTCTGAGATTTTGCGACTTCTTTTTGGCTTATCTGTTGAAGTAGTGTCACATGCAAAAAATAGCACAGACTGAGATATATTCCTTCTCGAGACTTGAATTACGTGCGCTACAAGTCTCCTAAATGCTTGTACTGTCAAATTCAGTGTTACTACAAATCAGACTGGTTTAGATTCAGTACGATACATTCTAACGACCGATGCAGCAATGCACATGCACCAAAATATTGACCCGTGTTATCTGGCTCCATATTTTGTTGTTGAGGTGGAACTGTTCTGTTTTCTCTAATTAACTCCTCGTTTATTCTTTCCTATGGCCACCGAGATGTTTAACATTCTTCTGTTGTTTCAGTTTTGAGCTTATTAATTAACAGCTTCAGTAACCCTAATATGACTAAAACAGTCTTTTTATATTTCTATACAGAAGCCGGAGATAATATTGTCCATTTCGTTCAACAATAATGTACTTCTTGGCTTTTACTTATCAGATCCTTTACTTGGTTTTTTCTGTCATTAGCAGTGGTACTCTTGGTACTGAGCGAATGGCACAATGGGTAGACAACGTTGTGGGTGATGATGCATTGAAGAGGTTCTAACTTCAGGTCTCTGTAGACATTTCATGGAATTCACAATACATCAATATGTTGGGATGTTGGGCGTATGGGATAGCAATGGGGATGGAGTTGGATACACAGATATTTTGGTGGTGATGGCACCCTTCTTATTCTTTCTGATATTACTGGCTCTGAAGATGCATCTGGAGACGTGGATTTTAATGAGATTTGTTGTGTTGTAGTTGTTTCGTGAACTTCTTATTCTCATCAATTCGTTTACTTTCCAAAGTGCCGATGCTGCAAACCACCCATAGAATAAGTAGAAATCTATTTTTCAATTTGAGATCATTGAGGATCAGGTTAGGAGGACAGCATTTTGGGGCTAAGCAAACAACAGGGCATGCAAAAGTCCCAGCGGCCCGGTGTTCAATCGATGGCATTCGTCCGGTATCATATTGGCGGATCAAGTTGGTTAAAGAAACAAGAGTATGATTGGTTGGTTTATATCCATTTGGTTTCTTTTCCCGGTAGCTGAAAATGAAGATGGCATGACTGTATTTTAGATGGACATAAAGGTTTCTGTTATTTACTTGTCAATAATCCATGGTTCAGTACCACTCTTCTAACCTGCACTCCTCTCAAAAGGATAGGGACACAACCACCCTAGACATTTGGTGAACCTTTCTTCAGAGTGGCGATAGCTAGGCCAACTAACAAGTTTCTAGATCAACCTAATGATCTATTACTCATGAAAACGCGAGCCAAAATACAAGATCTATAATTGCCAATATCCTCTTCCTCAACTTCATGAACACAAATCTGCAAATATAAAACAAAAACAAGTTTCTAGATAAAATTTTGCGTCGTGATATAATGTTGCAATCACTAAAATATTCATAATCAACACATAACCAACTCAAAGTGGCCAGTCATGATATTTATAGATCAGCAGCCACATTTTTGTTAATTCTAGTGGCAACATTTGCAATGAAGATTCGCATGCATAAAATCTGCTACTATAAGTGAAAAACTGAAGAGTGCAAATAAGCTTGGTCAGACGGAAGCACCAACCAATCA